CGCACCATTCGGGCGCCACCGGTACACTCTTCGGAAAAAGGTGGTAGTACATGCTAACGTTGGGGTAGTAATGGTTTGTCACTTATTTTCCAACCCTGGTAGCAAGCGCACTTAGTGACGAGAAAGGCGGTAACCGTTACTACCCTAGCTTTTACTACCAGCATTTAGTCACTGTTAATACCCTAGCCATTAGCACCCATGGGTAGTAACTTTTAAAGGTTTCAAGAAAAAAAGTAGTGACCTTCTTTATTCATTTTGGCATAATGTTGTTCCACTGCTAATGTGCTCCAATGAATTTCACATTACTAGACAACATCGGGTAAGGAAGATGGTGTGTCATGAACGCGGGGAATACGTAGACCTAACAAGTTCACTATTTCTCACGCATACATTTAGTATGAAGTTCGCATGGTGTATATATAGCCCCTACTTTGCATGGGCATGGCTGGCACAGGGGAGCACTTGTGTTTCTGGATAAATTATAAGAAATTTGAAACTATAGCCCTATATTATACAACTTGGCTACGCATGTTTTGGGGCGTAGCACAAGATTAATGAGCCTTACTTATAAAAAGTTGTATGTCATGCTTATGTATTATAAAAGGGCCATTTAAGGGCATCATGAACAGTGGCTGAAACAAGGTTATGAACTCCTTCTCAGTGCGTTTGAATGCTTCACATGGCTAAAATGTCAGCGTTTACAAGGTAACATTCGTTTTTGGTGTTTGACGGGCCAAACCAATGATAATGTTTAAAAACACGCCGCAGTTGATTGATTGCGACCGTTTTCGGGGCTAAATGTGACCGTCTGGTTATTTTGATCCACCGGTCCTGTTAATATGTGCTGAAATTAATAACTTTGTAGTATTTGTCTATTGCAACGCGTGTACATTTGCATATGGTTCGTTAACTTTTACTTATTCCTTTCGACAATATCAGAGTCACGTTTACATATCTCGGTTGCGTAATTTAAAACAAAATGTGTTTTCTTGATCTATAGATATCTTCTGCGTAATTTGTTGGTTTAATTATAGCACATCAAGACGATTCCTCTTATAAATATACGGAATAGAAAACACTCTTTTGTAATAAATAGTCAACAGCCAGGTAGCGAAAAGGTAGTAACGGAAAGGAAGGTAGTAACGGCTGCATTTACTACCAGTTTCATTCCGGTTGCTGTTTACTAACGTAGGTAGCAAACTTGTCGCAAAAAGTTAGTAACGGTAGCAGCTAGCAACTGTTTACTAACGTACGTAGTAAACACGTAGCAAAGGGGTAGTAATGGTCCAAGTAAGGTAGTAACCAAGGCAGTTTCTACCTATTTGCTTGCAGTTGCTACCTTTTTACTAACTTTTTTAAGAGTGTAGTGATCAGCTACGAGGCCATCTCTTAGCCCACTCTCAGCACACTAGCCGGAATATAAATTAGACGCAGTACTCTTACAGCGCAAGCTGTTATGAGATCACAATTCGGGTCACGCGCAGATGTCCACCGTCACCACTGCTGGTATTTTTATACACATCGCGCAAAAAAAATAAATAAAACTAACACCAACGACACAGTGGGGCTTGAATCCGGGTCGCTGGCTGCCAGTCCAGTATTCTAGCACTGAGCTATACGGTGCTTGTGACTTGTTTACAAACTTGCCTTGGGCAGGCTTGATGTCGGGAAAGGAATCGCATCAATACGACTTCTAAAGCGCTCCAAAACAGTGAAAGAACAACCAGTCGTCACACAATGCCAATAGCGTAACGAGAGGGCCGTCCAATGCTCGAACCCATTACAAAAGCTTGTTCTTGTTCACCTATTAACCATGGCACATATCTACTTCAGCCATAATTCCTAATCGTCGTCATCCACTGTATGAACAAATGACAAAAAGTGTTTGGAACAAAGTGTTTAGCGGATACCACGCTTCTCAAAATAATGACGAAAACTAGCCTAGCAAATGCCAGCCTACTACTCAAAAAAATTTATTATTAATGCCCTAATGAGTATCAAGCAAATGTGCTTGAAGTAATAACCCAATGATTGTTTCAAAAAGTCTTTAAAAGGCCGTACTTCTATATTTAGTTGTGACTGTTCTGCACCTTTCGCGCTAGGCCGGCATTTTTAACAAATACTGTGAAGGCCGAGCAACATAACGTTACCATAAGGTGCTCCTATTACCAGTGGCACATTCCTACTTCAGGCGTAATTCTTGATTCTTGTCAGCCACTGAGTAAAACACGAATTTTTACAAAATTTGTTGCAAGCAAATAGCGGGTACCACACTTTTCCGAAGAATGACGAAGGATAGCGTAGTAGCTGGCCTACTACACAGAACATTTGAATATTTTTGGCGTAGTGCGTAGCCAGCAAGTGCGTTTCTAGCATTTACCCAAATAGTGTTTAGAAAAGGCTCTAAAAGGCCCTTTTTGCTTTCGATGCGACTGTTCTGCCCGTTCTGCGAAGGCCTGTGGGTTTTTTTTTCTGTGTCACAAAGTTTGGGCTTTGTCACAAAGATGCTGTATTACAAAGATTCTTGTAAGGAGTGAAGTAGACGCATATGACACAGGTCATTGCAGGTAGTCACGTCAAATAGCCATGCACCTGGGTCGTTACAACGCATCAGCACTAGTTCTCCTGTTCTACGAAGCACCTTCCCAGTGACGTCCTACCGTGCGTACAGATGGTGCGTCAAAACCGCACAAGCACACATGAAGAAAACAGGAGGCGTGCACAGAAAGAAGAGCGAAAGAGGGAAAAGGCACGCGAGTGTTGCTGAGGCGCAGCTGGCTGATCAAAGCACGCGATTAGTGTAACGATTAGTGTACATATAAACATTCTGGAAGAAATCTACAGGGGATCAAGTGCTACCATAGTGCTTCATAAAGAAAGCAACAGAATACCAATCAAGAAGGGTGTAAGGCAGGGGGACACAATCTCCCCAATGCTATTTACCGCGTGCTTACAGGAGGTTTTCAGAAGCCTAGAATGGGAACAGTTAGGGATAAGAGTTAATAGAGAATACCTTAGTAACCTGCGCTTCGCCGATGACATTGCATTGCTGAGTAAGTCAGGAGACGAATTGCAACTCGTGATTACGGATTTAGACAAGGAGAGCAGAAAGGTGCGTCCTAAAATTAATCTGCAGAAAACGAAAGTAATGTACAACAACCTCGGAAAGGAGCAGCGCTTCGGGATAGGTAATAGTGCACTTGAAGTTGTAAAAGACTATGTCTACTTAGGGCAGGTAATAAACGCTGAGCCTAACCACGAGAATGAAGTAACTATAAGAATAAGAATGGGGTGGAGCACATTCAGCAAGCACTCTCAAATATTGACAGGTAGATTGCCACTATCCCTCAAGAGGAAGGTATATAACAGCTGTATCTTGCCGGTACTTAGCTACGGAGCAGAAACCTGGAGACTTACAAAGAGGGTTCAGCTTAAATTGAGGACGACGCAGCGAGCAATGGAAAGAAAAATGGTAGGTGTAACCTTAACAGACAAGAAGAGAGCAGAGTGGATTAGTGGACAAACGGGGGTTAAGGATATCATAGTTGAAATAAAGAAGAGGAAATGGACATGGGCCGGGCATGTAGCGCGTAGACAGGATAACCGCTGGTCATTAAAGGTAACTAACTGGATTCCCAGAGAAGGGAAGCGGGTTAGGGGGAGACAGAAGGTTAGGTGGGCAGATGAGATTAAGAAGTTTGCTGGTATAAATTGGCAGCAGCAACAGAGGACCGGGTTAACTGGCGGAACATGGGAGAGGCCTTTGTCCTGCAGTGGACGTAGTCAGGCTGATGATGACGATGATGATGATGATGATGAGTGTAACGCTTTGGAATGTGCCGGGAAAAGAAGAGTCAAGAAAAGTAGATGTACCGAGTGGTGGCCGTATAAAATTTCCTGTAAACCGTTGGTTGTGAACATACTTTGTACTGTACAACTAAACCTACATTTTTAAGTAAGATCGCTTAATAGTGGGAAGCGGTAATGAAACATAATACTGTAACTTCATTTTGAGAAGTAATTCTTTTACGTATTTATTAACATTAAGTTTTGCCAAGATTGCAAGATTACTTCTGTTTTGAAGCTAAACAGAAATGTGAAAATGTACACCTTGAGTAAACGCTTTTGTGCTTAAAGTGAGCTTAGAAAAACTGCCATCTATAACTTTCGCCACATAACCTACTTTCTTTTTACTGAGCGATCTCTTTACCACCAGATATTGGCGAACTTTTCTTGTCGTGTGTAATGATTTGCTTGTATATACACATATCCCCCCTTCCATTAGTAAGATCGCTAACTTGGAAAAACTTTGCTTTGATGTTTTGGCAAAAAAAAAAACAGAAGGCAGTATACGAGTCCTCGCAAGTTATGCAGCCAAAGCAAAAGTATTTTTCATAGCGTGCAGCATATTTAAAAAGAACACCAAATTTTCTTTGCACTCTCTCCCCGAGAATATTACGCATGAATATTGGTACACAGAAACTGTTGTGTTCAACAAAGAAATCAGTAACTCTTGTGAAGCTTAGATAAATGGTGTTTTCATTCGGCCAGCAAAATTGCGGAAATTTAGTTTTTTCGGATATTCTTTTTTGCAGCTGGAACCTAGCCATCGTCACGTTAAGCTACATGATACGAAAAAATAATAAAAATACCATAAAAGCAGCTTGCAACAAACATTAGTGCAAATGCGAAATCTATTTTTTCTATTGATGCATGCGTTCGTATATGCTGAAACATTTGAAGGAGCGATTCTTGTAAACGCGTCATCTCTGTTGTTACACATAGCAGATTGAAATAACTGTTTTATGAATACACAAAATTGACAAAAAATGTTTCTGAGAAACGCATTCACTGCAGTGTAACGTAAACACACAATGACTATAAGACAAGCGCAAAGCAAGCTGTGATAAATGATGTTTCTAGCCGCTAAGCGAAGCCTAATATTGTCCACATCTGGCTCTACGAAATGGAAGCGAGAATAAAATGGGTATTGTGTTAGACTCGCAAAGTTGGAAAAACAGTAAGGATATCTGGGGTGGTTCTGTCAACAACGGAAACTGGGCCAGTTACACAGCGCGCAGGTGAGTTATGCCAAAATCTGTCCTCAATTACAAATGTACCCTTCTTATGCACGGGTTGGGCTGGAAGAATGAGTAAATAATTCAGCAGAGCAAAAGGTTGACAACATAAAAAAAATACTTGGAGACTGGGCAATCATCGCTTGATCATGAATACGCAATGACCCCGTGAAAGCGTGCAAACACCATTCATCACCTGATCAATCATACCTGCGCATTCACTGAGCTAATATCTAATAAGCAAAGCCATCGCATCTGCTCTGCCACCACGGTGGCTTGTTATGAAAAACCTCGTGTGCACTTAGGCGTAATTGTAAAATGCTGGAGCTGTTTGCATAGAACTGAAACACTTGCTTTGTACTCACCTTGGTGAAAGCGCAATGCCGACAAAGGCGCGCGCGAAAGGACAAGGGAAATCACTGCTGTCTAGAATCCCATAAAAGTAACGCGCCCAGTTTTTAGCACAGCCAACTGTTATAACCCACGAAATGTTGCATTTGAATAAATTATTGATCACATGCGATTATGTGAGTGCGTTGGTGCCATCGTATATAGAAATATATATATATATATATATATATATATATATATATATATATATATATATATATATATATATATATATATAGGTGAAGTTATTAGAAGAAATGGAATGTGAATAAGAAGAAAGAAAAGTGGGTGAAAAAATAACCAGCCATGAGCAGGCATCGTACCTACGACCTTCGAATAACGCGTTTGATTCTCTAACCACTGAGCTATCACAGCGGCCTCCCCTCCATCCACTTTTTTGGATTTATATTTGAATTCCGAAGTAGGAGTGTCAGTGAGCGCCATCTATAAGCCAAACAGCGAGTGTGAAACACCCTTTTATGCGCATGTGTGGCGTCACGTAGCACGTGAACTTATTACGAGCGGGCAGCTGACCAATAGTCCCTGATACAACCTAATGACACTAAGTCTGCCAGTACGAGACCCTCGTTTATGAATAAGAAAAAGTGTATACCTAATGACTCGTTTTCCGTGTTTTGACACAGTAATAATGAGATCTAACAGACAGTAATGCCAAGGAATGTATACGGAAATTATTTAGAACAAATGGAATGTAAATAAAAAGAAAGAAAAGTGGGTGAAAAAATAGGCAGCCATGAGCAGGAATTGAACCTACGACCTTCCAATAACGCGTTTGATGCTCTAACCACTGAGCTATCACAGCGGCCTTCCCTCCACCCACTTTTGTGGGTGGTTATGTGAATTCAGAAGTAGGAGTGTCAGTCAGCGCAATCTATAAGCCAAGCAGCGAGTGTGAAACACCCATTTATGCGCATGTGTGGCGTCATGTAGCACGTGAACTTATTACGAGAGGGCAGCTGACCAATAGACCCTCGTATGCAACCGAATGACACCAAAGCTGCCAGTACGAGGACTTCGTTAATGAATAAGGGAAAGAGGTGTATACATAACGACTTGTTTTTACGTGTTTTGACACGATAATAATGAGCTGTAACAGAGAGTAATGCCAAGGAATGTATAGGGGAAGTTATTAGAACAAATGTAATGTAAATAAGACGAAAGAAAGGTGGGTGAAGAAATACCTAGCCGTGAGCAGGAATCGAACCTACGCCCTTCTAATAACGCGTTTGATGCTCTAACCGCTTAGCTATCACAGCGGCCTTCCTTACAAGCACTTTTTTGGGTTTTTATGTGAATCTAGATGTAGGAGTGTCAGTCAGCGCCATTTATAAGCCAAGCGGCGAGTGTGAAACACCTTTTTATGCGAATATGCGCATGTGTGGCGTCACGTAGCACGTGAACTTATTACGAGCGAGCAGCTCAGCAATAGTCTCTCGAATACAACCTAATGACACTAAGTCTTCCAGAACGAGACCCTCGTTAATGGATAAGGGATAGAAGTGTATACCTAAGAGCTCCTTTTTTCGTGTTTTGACACAATATTATTGAGATCTAACAGACAGTAATGCCAAAGAATGTATAGGGGAAGGTATTAGAACAAATGAAATGTAATCAAGAAGAAAGAAAAGTGGGTGAAAAAATAACCAGCCGTGAGCAGGAATCGAGCCTACTACCTTCAATTAACGCGTTCGATGCTCTAACCACTGAGCTATCACAGCGGCTTACCCTTCATCCACTTTTTGTTAAAGGGTCAGGAATATTGATGGTGTGTATTCGAGTGTTCCTTTACCAGTGGACCATAATGTACATTTGTAATTCTTACTTAATCATTTGACACATTCTAAGGAAAACAATGCTCGGTCAGGTTAGGTGAACACAGCTCCTTCTCTTTTTTCGTACGCGTATTGTAATGTAAAAATTAGGTGACCAAAGCTACTTCATTTTTTGTACGCATGTTATAGTGTCACATTCCTTTCTGTTTTCCTTATTTCGTTATGCTCTACTCAGGTCCCCACAATTCACCAATATAAATAACACGAACTAAGAGTACAGAAGCAAGGCATAGTATACGTTAAATTTTACGTTCGCAGTTGCTTTTTGAACACGAAGCGCTTCTGTGAGTAGTATCTATCTATCTATCTATCTATCTATCTATCTATCTATCTATCTATCTATCTATCTATCTATCTATCTATCTATCTATCTATCTATCTATCTATCTATCTATCTATCTATTTATTTATTTATCTATCTATCTAACTATCCATCGGTATCTATCTATCTATGTAATATCTATATATCTATAAATATATATCGATCCATCTATCTCTGCAGCCACCCACGTGTGTATATATCACGGTGTATCCCATATTAATATTTGTCTGCTAAGTTAAGAGGTGATATACGTTGTATATATCGCTTTATACAATATACTGCAATATATACCACGAATATCGCCTTGTTATCATGGGGTAAAGCAAAATCAGTAGTTAGGGCTAAGAATGCTTCTCGAATAAGTTTGACGGGTCATGATTTGATTATTAGCTTGGAAATCCCGTTGCGTACGTACGTCGGAAAACCTTTTCCTCCACGCACATGTGGCACATGCCCACATACCACGTGTCGCAGTATGCCGGGATTCGACATAGTAGATTGAATTTTTGTTGACCCTGTAGTGGCAGGAACAGGCATTTGTAATTTCAGCGCAATAGCGCCCAGAAAAACTGAAATGAGATGACCCAATGTATGGAAAAGGTAAATATTAGCGCCTCAGCAGGATTGGGAACCAAGCAGTCTGCATGGCAATCATGTACATTATACCACAGCGCCACGTTTGGTCTCAAAACTGCTTTGGAAGAACACCCCATTGCTGGCGAAACGGCCGTTGTGTTTGCGTTGCTGGCCATTGAAACTTTAAGCATCACATGTGTGCTTCTATGACATTGGATTCAAGTCGGCTCAGCGTCAGTTATATACTTCATCAACATCCGCTGAAGTTAGTCTACGCACCACTAACGAGAGTTACCATCGTCTTCTCTGTGAGATCGGAACGTATGCCTATCTGTAAGGCTTCTTCAGAGAGGCTAAAAATAGCATTCCAGTAAACCTAATATTTCGTGTTTTATCTCAACCGTGTTTTATCGCGATATCAACCATATGGACATAGTCAATAGGTTATCGCCATCGACGTCGCCATCGCCGTCATGTTTCTTTAAAAAGTGCCCATCGACGTCATTGTCCTGTGTACCGTATGATTTACGCGCGTGTAAAAGCGCGTGATTGGCGGGGACGAACATGGCTGTTCAAACGTATCGGCCCACCTCCGTCGACCAAAGGACACATTCGATTAAATTAACTCGTGGGTGAAGCATGTCATGAAATGCTGCTGAAGCAAAGGGTAAACGCCATGTTTGCTTTGAAGGCGCATGAAAAGTCACGGAGGTAAAGGTGGGTATAGCGGATGAGCGTTCGCGCAACGGCTGTGAACGTTGACTATAAGGACGTGGTGGCATATTCTATATTGATAGACATCAGCGGACAGCTTGTATACTGTTATACTTTCTTCGCTTTCAACGAGATGCGACTGTGCGGATTCGCCTTTCTAACCGCTAGCGGCTGTGGTCTGTTGCAGCAGCGTTTTGTAGATCCTCGCAACACTAGATGTAAAAATTTAGCCTTACTTAGTTTGTTGCTACCACACTCAGTACATCACATATGTGGTGAAACTGGTATATTTTGCCATAAATTGTCATATCGAAAGCGCTGCGTGAATAGAAGACGACCAGCATGCCTTTTCTCTTCACCATCATAAAGCTCTGTGTGCTGCATCGGGTAAGTCTGTGTGAGAAGACGTATGTAGATCAAAGCTTTCAGAAATTTCAAGAGACTGGAGCCGTCAGAGGAAACAACAAACCTTCATCAATAGAACATATTTTACGGTCACGATTAGGTCTTTTACGGTTGCTCAAAATTGCAGGGGAACCTGCACTCACGCACTATTATCGCACTTCAAAATTTCGTGAACTTGTATGATTCTATTTACATTTTTTGGCATGTTTCATTTGCTCAATTTTGTCTTTTTTTTTCTTGGTGAAAAGCGCATATACAAATATCTATGCTCAAAAGTATAGCGAGCTGTCCTACGCGTTCCGCATTGAGATGGCCGATACCACAGTCTGTGACTACTGTGGAAACGAAGAGTTCATTCCACATATCTTTTGATATCGCTGACAGAATAGTGGTCAGCGGCTATGTCATTGCAACGAGCTCAACAAATGAGGTAATCAACGTCTGTCCAAGAAAAACAAAACACACAATATTACAACTGAGGAAAGGTCAAACTGATCAGCGCGGCAAAAACTCCAAGCTACCCAGCATTGAGGCACCCCTAAATGGACTAATGGCTTTTACTGAACGAGAAAAGCTTTTATGAGGGCTACCTGAATATCGCTGTTCGGGGTGCATTTTTTCCTAATAGTTGATCTGTAGGTTGCTTGTTTCTTACAGGTCCGCAAGGTTCTTTTCGGAGAAATTGTGACTTTATTGGGGTTTATATATTACTATTCCTTCATTGCGTGTGCTTTCTCCGTTTT